CATCATGCTTCAAAGCATTGCATTCCAGATCATCTGACTAATGACAGAATAAGTCAAGCAAAAGTATTCATATTTCTGAATCCCTCCATCAAATATTCTCCCCACCCTACTTTAACCATTTACTCATCTAAGGAGAACAGCCCCAGTTTTTTTGTATTTTCAGGTAACTGTTCCTGGCACCATTCTAGTAATGTTCTCTGCATCCTCGTTAAACCTTAGCCATCCTTCCTAAAATGTGGTACATAGAATTGATCACAATCCTTTATCTATTGCATAACCTGTGCTTTATAAAGATGTAATGTAATATCTTTGCTTTTTGAAAAGAGAGACTGGGGGTTTCAGGTACATAGTTCTTTGAAAGTTGCATCACAGTTAGGCAGGGTGTTTAAGAAGGTCTTTAGCATGCTTACCTTCATTGCTCAGACCATTGAGTATTTGGGATATGTTGAGACTGTACAGGACATCGGTAAGGCTATTTTTGGAGTACTGTGTAGAGTTCTGGTTGTTCTGCTATATAAAAGATATTATTAAATTAGAGAGTGTTCGGAAAAGATTTACCAGGATGTTACAGGGGCTGGAGGGTTTGAGTTATAAGGAAGGCCTGGGACTATTTCCCCTGGAGCTTAGGAGGTTGAGGGGTAACCTTGATAGAAGTCTATAAAATCATGAGCATAGATAAGGTGAATAGCAAAGGTCTTCTTCTTAAGGTTAGGGGAGTTCAAAATAGGGGGCATATTTTTCAAGATGAGAGGAGAAAGATTTAAGTGACCTGAGGGGCAACAATTTTACACACAGGGTGGATTTGTGAGTGGAATAAATTGCCAGAGGATGTGGTGGATGCAGGTATTGTTAGAACATTTAAAAGACATGCGGGCAAGTACATGAACAGGAAAGGTTTAGAAGGATGTGGACCAAATGCAGACAAGTGGGACCAGTTTAGTTTGGGAAACTTGGTCAGCATGGACGAGTTGGACCGAAGGGGGTCTCTCCATACTGTATGACTCTATATAGCTCATGTAACACCTTTATTCAAAAAGGAAGGAGACAGAAAGCAGGAAAATAGGCCAATTAGTCTATTATCAGTCATAGAGAAATTGTAAAAATCCATTATTAAAGAGACTATAGCAGGATTTTTTTAAGATCATATTGAGATCAAGGAGAATGAAGATGGGTAATCATGTTTAGATAATTTTGAGTTTTTTTTTAAAAAGAGGTTGCAAGTCGTTAAAGGGGAATCTGTAGTTGCGCCCTACTTGGTTTTCCAAAATGCTTTTCATAAAGCCCCACATCAAAGGTTAGCACACAAGACATGAGCATGTGATGCAGGGGAGAACATATTAGCAAGGATAAATTACAATGCTTTTTTAGCACCTTATCCAACATTTGAAGTTCATCATCCTACTACACAAGTGCGTGGCACTTCTGTAAAATTCTTCCAAGCCACAATGAAAAAGATTTTGCATGAAGAATTCACACTGTATGACAGCTTTGTGCAGTGATGCAGCTGAATGTATGTTTATTGTAAGATGCTGTATACTGTCTCAATTTGCATTGAACTGCTCATAAACTTGAGGTAAATCTAACTTTGTGAAGATCTTGGTCTTGATAACTCCACGTACAAATGTTGGAGAGGTGTTGGGTATTATTTATCGTGCACCGCATGTGTGATTATGACGTTGTAGTCTTGCTGTTTTGTCTGACTTGGACATGACTATGGTTCTGACCAATCACTGTAGTCAGTTTTCATTAGCATGTAAATTATCTTGTATTTTTGTTTTCCTTCAGCCTGGATTTTGAGAGTAGATGCTACCAGTGTTAGCATTTCCACATACTGGTCTTGCATCAGGCTTGATCCAAACGAATGATTTCACAACAATTATACCTTCAGAACAGTCCTCAGAAATGCTACTGTAGCTATTCAATAGCAGATCAAATTTTTTTAGTTGTCTCAAATTGAAAAAAACATACTTTGAGTCTCACTTCAATTCACAAGGCTAGTGTTTGTCTAATAACATTTGGTTTTCTGACATGTCTCACTTCAACTTTGAGCAACTTGTGGGATTTGACGTTATTGGATATTGCACTCCATTTGTTCACACAGTTTTAACCCTTCACTACTGTAGGCTTTCAAGTGAACTGCAGCCTAAGTTAGAGATATTTCACTGAATTTGCTCTTCTATGTGTCTCTCTTCACATTGGAACAATTTGCAGCCAGGTAGTTGTGCATTTTGATGTACTGTTGATTTACCAACATCTTTCTACAAAAATCTCTGCTTTTGTTTGAGTGGCATAGATGTTGTAGAGCCCCAAACTTCTCTTCACTTAAGCACTGTTGATTCATTTCAAGGTTGTGCTGTCTGCCCTTGTGACATCATTGTTCTCGAGAGCGCTGGAAATGGTTCTCTTTCTCTCATTGGTCTTTGCTCAGCAGCAGTTGCATTATGGCATTTGTTTTGGCAAATTGAGCATTTCATATTGGATGGACATGACTCTGCCATGTGTATGCCATTATAGTGATTACAGGTCATCTACAATGCTATCCGCAGAACTTTAGTCAATCGATGTCACCACTTCGGGGTGGTAGATATCTTCTGACTATGGACAGATGCTGTGCTAGTCAATTGCATAAGACAGAACTCCTGAGCATTCTTTGTTTCTATCTCTGTGGTAAAGACAATTTTGCAAGCCAGCTCAAATATATGATTTTGTATGTTTAATGACTTTGATTTGATTCTTTCATCCACTAACCCCTATACAAATCTAGGTTACAGTGTGTGGTCTAAGAACATACCAAAGTTGCAATATCATGATAAATTCATCAGTGCCACAATGTATTACACAATTGTTTCAACTGCTTTTCTGATTTGTTGTTTTCCCACTATATTGTTTGGTTTAGGACTTGTGTTTCTCCAACCTTAACATACTTTGTGTGTATTGTTGAGAGTAGAAATTTATTTTTAGCATGCTGTACAATTCTAGATCAATAGCTTTGCAAAACTTCCTTTTTGCATTCAAGAATCATTTTATTTGGTCAGGGATAGTAGGAACTGCAGATGCTGGAGAATCCGAGACAACAAGGTGCAGGGCTGGATGAACACAGCAGGCCAAGCAGCA